AAAGAACGATCTAATCGGAGACTTTCGCTACTTGGAAGTATTGGAAGGATTCCCGAATTGCTCGACAAAAAATTTGAACAAAGAACCGTCGCGTTTAGCTTTTTTTACAGCGCTGGATCCGACCGAATATTGGGGACTGATAAGAGAGTGGGTGTACCTGTTTTTACAAACCCTAAAATAAAGACTACAAAAAGCAAAACACGCCAGAGTGACCCTAAGTGAAAGGGCAACATCGTATTAGGTCGGCAAGGCTTACATTAGGTTTTCTCTCCGTCGCTGCGTACGGTCTCAGTAAAAAATCCTTAAGATCAGACCAGAGACAATTCTTACTAACATAGATAAAACCAAGTATACTTCAGTCTTAAAAGAGAGGCTTTTCTCGTTCGGTAACACTGCAGTTCCTGTGAAAAGACCTAATGCATTGAGCAATGTTAAAAAACACAAGTAATTTTTCTTGGGGTTTTTGAGGCCCCTGCGTGTATATGATTCTCTACCTTCCAGTTACTTTGCAATTCTGGTAATCTTGACACCACTCAAGACATGTATAAACTCATTGATAAAATGTCAAATGGCAATGGCTTACAAGGGCTGCCTCTTTTGGGAACTTATTGGGTCTACGAGCCGCATGTTTACAATTTGGGCAATCACCTTGTAATCCAATCAAGAATGTCACGTACCTCTACCTTTTGGCTAGCATGCACTAAGTATAGACTAGTCCCTTATTCTCCTGCACTTGTGTGATTTAAGAACACTAGGTTTAACATACATAACGCTACAAAGTTCACTACATTAGGTACCTTTCGAGGACATTTCTCTTTTCTGCGACGGAACTATCCAGGTAAGCCCTTCTGTACTGCCCTCTTAAGTTTTGCTCCAGCATACTTAGGTTACGATCGGTACATACACAATCACATCTGTGTTTTTACCTGCAATTATCCTCTCCTTTACAGAAGCCAGTAGAATTAAACAGAGGATCCTTTGCTGTAGAAAATTTATAATCATCTTTGGTTCGAGCGACCTGTTCATCGAACAATTGCTTGCACTTGCAGCTGAGTGTCTAGCTTCAGGGCATGACAGAAATACTGCATCCTTTCCTTACTAAGCTTAGGCAGATTCTCCCAGGGAATATTGATCAATATTTCGTCGAAAAAGAATGCTTTCGTTCGAATTTTTGCTCCGACTATCCTCTGACTACCCGCCATTTTGAAACTGGACTTTGAAAAAGTCCGGGAAAATCCGGTAGTGCCAGGCCCTCGCGCGGTATGAAATTAGGCAATAGCTCAATGTTTGTAGGCGAAATGGCTTAGGAATGTCCCCCCAAAAAACAAGCAATACCTTACAGTAATTTTTTAGACACTGTGATGCATAAATGGTAAGGCTAATTAACATCTTCCCTACCAGATAGAAGGAAAACATAAAATACTTAACACAAAACTCGGCCCAATTTTTCTTTTTAATAGGTCTTTCCTTAACTACACAGAAATAATGACTCTAGACATCGTAACCTGTAAATTGGCTACTAACAAAGAGTATCGTGCCGATTAAAACAATTTTTTTTGCTGTAAACATAATACCTTAAGCTTTAGCTTTCTTTCATTTCGGATATTTTTCTTAAAAAACCACCCAGCCATCACTCAAAAGGAGGATTACGCCTTAGTGGCTTTCACAGTTAGGTATATATGCGGAGGCTTCGCTTTTGCTCCTGGCTAATCTCGTACCCAGATCTCCCACGGCCAAGTGTAAAACAGAGTGAGATATGGGTATACGAGATTAATTCCTGGCTAGATCTATATGTTAGTCTTATACCAGCTGCTACATCAACGTTTTCCAAATTGTTCAGTACCCGATACTACTCTCTCACAACTGAGTTAACCAGGCGGCGGAATAGCATGAACAACGTAGCCTAAACAAGTTGAAAAAGACGAAATTCAGTGAGACCTGTATTAACCCTAGATCATCGCAATGTCGATGCGCTCCGTTACAGAAATCGCGTCGAAATCACAAATGTACAGCTGTACAAATGTGCAGCTGTATGTGTGAACAGAACCCCGATCCTGAGGCCACGTGTGCGAGAGGGATATTGTCAGAACAATGTCAGGTATCATTCCCCTCTCTGCTCAACTGTTTTTTTATTACTTAGAAAAACAATAGACACGCTAGAAATGTCATCTAAACCCTTTATTTAACTTCCAATTTCAGAACGTTAGATGAAAACCACAACGATAAACAGTTACATGTATGCATTTCATAGAGAAGGATTCGAAACATAGTTGAGACGACGAAAAATAGAAAAAGGACAGGAAACGTTTTGGTTCAAATTTGTTGAAGATTGTTTTACTTGAGTCTACAGAAGGCCGAGTCTAAGAAATACAATAGAAAGCTGGCCAATTATATGGTATACTGAAGACAAATAACCATCTAGATTTCCCTTTTGTCTCGTGAAGTTTGTTGTTGAGTGCTAAATAGGGCACATTGCTAGCCGGGGGTAATCCCTGTAAAG